TTCTTTCCTTCCTTCTCTCTGACATCTTCCTTCCTTCCCTCCTCCTCTCTATCACCTTCCTTCCTTCCTTCCCTTCTTTCCTTCCTTCCCTCCTCCTCTCTATCACCTTCCTTCCTTCCTTTTCCCCCATACCAAGAACCAGCACAGCTTTTTAAGAGTAGAAGAAAAAACAAGCCCATTCCTTCCTTTTCCGTATTTCACGATGGCTATTTCAGAGGACTAATCCATAGCTGATCTCTGGCCATCCAAACACTTGAAATCAATGACTTGTTTATCATCACAGTTGATCTCATAAATGTTACAAACCATCTGGAGTTTTGTTATTCATCCATGGAATAAACGAAATTCACCTGGGAGTTAATCTGGTTTGAGCCCATGAGAAGAACAGGTGGTCCTCAATGTACGACAGTTCATTTAGTGACCGTTTGAAATGGCTTAAGATCAGTCTCGCCCTAAGAACCGTCCCCGCAGCCACAGCACGGTGATTCTGGGGCTTGGCACCCGTTCATGATGGTGGCAGCGTCTGGGTCACCATTTGCAACCTTCCCAGCCGGCTTCCCGTAAGCAAAGCCACTGGAGAAGCCAGCAGGGAAGGTTGCAAATCACAATCCCATAATGTCTCACTTAATGACTGTGGCGATTCGTTTAACAACTGTGATCCAAAAGGTCATAAAACTCGGTGCAGTCATGTGATGTCTCACTTAACAACCATGCCATTTAACAATGAATTTTCCGGCCCCATTGTGTTCATAAGTGCCGTCCTTTTCGAGGCTGGTAAAATGAGGACCCAGATTGTTGGGTTGACTCTATAAACTGCTTAGAGAAGGCTGTAAAGCCCTGTGAAAGCGGGATAGAACAGGGGTCTCCAACCGTGGCAACTTTAAGACTTGTGGACTTCAACTCCCAGAGTTCCTCAGCCAGCTGGCTGAGGAACTCTGGAATTGAAGTCCACAAGTCTTAAAGTTGCCACGGTTGGAGACCCCTGGTATAGAAGTCTAAGGGCTATTGCTATTACCAGTACCAGAACTAATGTATGCTTCTCCATGCTGGATTGTGGGCATGAAGTATGCCCTTAGTAGTCCTAAGTGAGTAATGATCAGCCCTTTCTCACTTTTGATCCTCAGCATTCCCATAGCTTTGCTTCAACTTCGATGATAGAGGCAAATTGTGGTGAAGAGAAGACAGAACAACCTTTTGTATCCTTACAGCCAACATCTGAGGGGCTGCCCCAAAGAAAAGGGAGTCAACCCATTCTCCAAAGCACCAGGTGGCAGGAGAAGAAGCAATGGATGGAAACTAATCAAGGAGAAGAAGCAACCTAGAACTAAGGAGAAATTTCTTGACAGCGAGAACAATTCATCAGGGGAACAATTTGCCTTCAGAAATTGCGGGTGGGCTTCATCGCTGGAGGTTTTTAAGAAGAAATTTGAAGAACCACTTGTCTGAAGTGACAAAGGGTTGGACTAGAACAGGGGTGCCAACTCAAGTCCCGGGGGATGGATCTGCCCCGCAGGGTGCTTAGATCTGGCCTGCAGGGACACCCCGGAAACAGCAAAGGACTGGCCAGCGATGTCTCTGCCAGTCAAAATGGAGCTTGTGCGAGACCTTCCCAAGCTCCGTTTTCACTGGCCGAGGATTGCAGGAGGCCATCGCAGCCGAAAACGGAGCTTGGGAGCCCGTTTTCACTGGCAGAACGCTTGGACCACGACAGGCGCCCCTGACACAAGTGATGTTGAGCTGGCCACGCCCACCCTGCCCCACCCCCCCAAGGTCAAACTCAACCCTGATGTGGCCCTCAATGAAATCAAGTTTGACACCCCGGGCTAGAAGATCTCCAAGGATCTCTTCCAACTCTGTTAAATATGAGTGTCTGTAACTTCAGGATCACGGGCCGATCATAGCCACTACTGGTAGGGAGCTTGGAGATCTGTAAGAGCAACAACAATTGAGCCATTACTCTAAACAGGTTTACCCAACCTGATGTCCTCAGACTAGAGCAGAGGTCTCCAAACGTTAAGACTCGTGGACTTCAACTCTCAGAATTCTGGGAGTTGAAGTCCGCAAGTCTTAAAAGTTGCCAAGTTTGGGGACCCCCGGACTAGAGAATAGAAATACATTCTTTCTATAGGAATAATTAAATAAGATGATATGTCTGAAACAGCGAATCAACTGAGAGTAATGGGGGAATGGATTCCAGTTACCAGGGAACTGCCTTGTTTTTAAAAAGGAGGTTGGGAAACTGAGGCAGACTACTCAGGATCAGCAATGGCGTCTTGTACAAACAGGAGAAACCAAGTGGAAGGGCTGGAGAGAGCTTGACAGACAACTCGTCCGTCCACCCTGAACTTCAGTGACTGGATACGGACCAGCAAGAGGCGTCTTTTGAAAACGTGCCTGAGTTATAAACTTCAGAGAGATCATTGTTCCTGCCACTGCTGGCGGCAGAGAACTGCACCAGATCAGCTGCCAGGCTGAGCCCATCGAGCAACCGAGCTGCTCTTTTTTGCATCGGGCCTGTTACAAAAACAACGGGATTAGAAGTGCCGACAGATCCGAGACGGCATTTCCACGGGCGGAGTCATCCCTACCATCAAGTAGAAACGGATTGTCGCTGTTTTCTTTCCAGTTGTAGAAACGGAGGGCCTAAGATTCGAAAGTAGCAGGAAAGAGATACCAGGAAGTCCTTGACTCAAAACAGTTCATTTAGCAACTGTCTGAAATTACAATGGCATTGAAAAAAAGTGACTTATGACTGTTTTTCACACTTATGACCGTTGAAACATCCCCAAGGTCATGTGATCAAAATTCAGGCGCTTGGCCACTGATTTGTGACTGTTGCGGTGTCCTGGAATCCCCTTTTGCAGGGGTCCCCAAACTTGCTGGCTGAGGAATTCTGGGAGTTGAAGTCCACAAGTGTTCAAGTTGCCAAGTTTGGGGACCCTTTTGCAATCTTCTGACGAGCAAAGTTCAATGGTTCACTTAGCAACTGCGTCACTAACTTAAGAACTGCCATCTTTCCTTTAATGAAGGTGGCAAGAGAAGCCATCAAATGGGGCAAACCTCACTTCACAACTGTCTTGCTTATCAACAGAAATGTCGGGTTCCTTTGTGGTCGTAGGTTAAGGACCACCTGTATGAGAAGTTCTCCGTGTTTGACCTAATGTTTCTCATTTCACGTGACATGAAACCCATCGTGGCTGGTTCAGAGTTCTTCACCAACGGAGACATGGAACCAGCCTTGTGGGCAACTGCCAAGTCTGACTGCCAAATCAGCTCCATGCACATTTCTGTATTCACACTTTTGTACTGTAGAGTAACCAACTGCTCAGCCCAATCCAGAGCTACTGTATAGGGTAGGGGTCGCCAATCAGTGGGCTGGAGACCACTGGTGGTCCACAAGAAAAATTTGGGTGGTCCACAGAGAAATGTCCCCCCCCCCCCAAGCAATTATTCCAGGCTGTGTGGGAACACAAGGCTGCGCCGCCCACATGGCCCGCATGAACACAAGACTTGTGTCTCTTGCATTGTGAACAACACGAGGTAGTGAAGGGAGGAGGGAAAGGGCGGAAACTTGCCCCACACACCTCGCCCAGCCACAGGGCTGCTTCTTTCCGCTTCTTTTGGCTGCATGCAAGGAAAGCAGCAGAAGTATTTCTTTCTCCCGCCCCCAAACACTGCCAGAAATGAGTCTTTGGGACCCTGCAAGGCCTCCTGCTGCAAGAGGCTGCACCGGCAAAGACTTATTTCTGGCAGAGTTTGGGGGAGAGAAAGAAAGACTTCTGCTGCTTCTGCTGCTTTCCTTGCATGAAGCCAAAAGTCTCTCTCTCTCTCTCTCCCCCTGAGAACGGAGCTGGAGACGGTATCCTTTGATCCCAAATAAAGAACGATCGATCAGTAGGAAAATTTTCCTGCAGACTTTTTTTGGGGTTTTTCCCAGGGTCTCCTGTCCACAGGATTTAAAATTATGAGCTTGGTGGTCCCTGAGTTCCAGAAGGTTAGCGACCCCTGATACAGGACAATCTTACAAATATGGAGGAGCCAGTTTCTGACACATGGCATGCATACAGTCATGTTTTGAGAGTCGTGCCAGAACCTTGGTTAAAGAAACAAGATTCCAGATTGTCCCACAGGTGCTTTTTCAAAAGACAACTGGACTTTCTTTGTTTTTCCTTGAAGACGTTTCGCTTCTCATCCAAGAAGCTTCTTCAGTTTGGACTGAATGATGGAAAATGGAAGGATTTATATTCCTTGTAGTCACCTGATTGTTAGCACTCTTTCTGAGAGTTGTGGAGGCCACTTCCACACCCATTTGCACTATTCAGGTGACTTTGAGGGCATGGATAAACCTCCACGACTCTCAGAAAGTGTGCTAATGACCAGATGACTACAAGGAATATAAACCACTTTTTTCAGTGCCATTGTAACTTTGAATGGTCAGTAAATGAACTGTTGTAAGCCGAAGACTGTTTGTACTCAAAACAATGCTTTTCAAATTATTTCAGTGCCTTGTTATGCCCTGAATTCAAGTAAAATTTATAGATAATCAGAGTTGGAAGGGATCTTGTAGGTCATCTAGTCCAACCCCCTGCCTAAGCAGGAGACTCTACACCACTTCTGACAGAGGGCAGTCCAGTCTCTTCTTGAAAGCCTCCAGTGATGAAGCTCCCACATCTTCTGAAGGCAACTTCTGTCCCATTGGTTGATTGTTCTCACTGTCAGAAAGTTCCTCCTTATTTCCAGGTTGAATCTCTTCTCCTTGTTCAGTTTCCATCCATTATTCCTTGTCTGGCCTTCAGGGGCTTTAGAAAATAGCTTGACCCCTTCCTCCTCTCTGGAGCAGCCCCTCAAATATTGGAAGACTGCTATCATGTCTCCCCTGGTCCTTCTCTTTACTAGACTAGCCAGGCCCAGTTCCTGCAACGTTCATATGTCTCAGCTTCCAGTCCCCTCATCTTCCTGGTTGCTCTTCTCTGCACT